GGTACTAGGTGAAGATCATAAGAAGACCGCTGACAGCTACTTTAACCTGGGGGCTACTTAATATATCCTTAGTGATTACACCTCAGCCACTGAGTCAAACAAGCGAGTACTAAACATCAGATAAAAGATATTGGGTGAACATCATAAGAAGACTGCTGCTAGTTACGCTAACCTGGGGATTACCCAACATATACTTAAAAATTACACTTCAGCCACTTAGTCACACAAGCGACGTTAGACAGCGAAAAAAAGGGATTGGGTAAAGATCATGAGAACACTGCTGACAGCTTCTTTAACCTAGAGTTGTCCCAATATATGCTTAGTGATTACACCTCAGCCACTTAGTCACATAAGCGAGCACTAAACATCAGACAAAAAGTATTTGGTAAAGATCATGAGAGCTCCGCTAACCTGGGGGTTACCCAATATATGCTTAGAGATTACACCTCAGCCACTGAGTCACACAAGGGAGCACTAAGTATCAGACAAAAGGTATTGGGTGAAGATAATGAGAACACCGCTTGCAGCTACCATGAGCCGGGGCCTACCCAATATATGCTAAGAGATTACACCTCAGGCACTAGGTCACACATGCAAGCACTAAATATCAGACAAAAGGTATTGGGTGAAGATCACGAGAAGACCACTGACAGCTACCATATGCTTAAAGATTACATGTCAGCCACTCAGTCACGCAAGCCAGCACTTAACATCGGACAAAAGGTATTGGGTGAAGATCATGAGAACAACGTTGACAGCTACCATGGGTTGGGGGTGTCTCAATGTATCCTTAAAGATTACATGTGAGCCACTGAGTCACACAAGTGAGTACTAAACATCAAACAAAAGGTGTTGGGTGAAGATCATGAGAACATCTCTGACAGCTACTTTAACCTGGGGATTACCCTACATATCCTTAGAGATTACACCTCATTCGCTGAGTTACACAAGCGAGCACTGACCATCAGACAAAAGGCGTTTTGTGAAGATCATTAGAACATTGCTGACAGGTACTTTAACCTGGGGGTGTCCCAATGTATCTTTAAAGATTGCACCTCAGCCACTGAGTCACATGAGCGGGCACTACAAATCAAACAAAAGGTTATGGGTGAAGATCATGAGAACGCCGCTGAGAGCTACTTTAACCTGGGGATTACCCAATATATGCTTAGAGATTACACCTCAGCCACTGAGTCACACAAGTGAGCACTAAACATCAGACAAAAGGTATTGGGTGAAGATCACGAGAAGACCGCTGACAACCTGGGGATTACCCAAAACTTGGAGATCGCACATCAGCCAGTGATCCTCACAAGCGAGTAGAAGAGATCAAACAAAAGGCATTGGGTGAAGATCATGAAGCATAGCTCACAGCTACCATAACCTAAGGGGTTACCCAATATATGCTTAGAGATTATACATCAGCCACTGAGTTACACAACAAGCACTAAACATCAGACAAAGGGTATTGGGTGAAGATCATGAGAACACCGCTCACAGGTATCATTAGCTAGGGATTACCCAATATATACTTACAAATTACACATTAGCCACCGAGTAACAAGCACAAGCGACCACGAAAGATCAGACAAAAGGTGTTGGGTGAAGATTATGAAAAGACCGCTGACAGCCACCGTAACTTGGGGGTTACCCAATATATGCTTAGAGATTACACCTCAGCCACCAAGTAACACATGTGAGCACTAAACATCAGAAAAAAGTTATTGGATGAAGGTTTTAACAAGACTGCTGAAAGCTACCATGAGCTTGGGATTACCCAAATGAATTTAGAGATCACACATCAGCCACTGAATCATTTAAGCGAGCATTTAACAACAAACAAAAAGTGTTGGGTGAATAACATAATAGGACCCTTAACTGAGGATATTGAATGAGACACACTTTAGTACTGATTAATACAAGTGTGGACTTGAATTCTGTTTAAAATTGCGGTTAGAGGAGAACGAGAACCAGTGAATCAATTGTTAAAGAAATTACGGACATCATTGAGGTTTAAAAAGTAGTAGAGGTTATATGAAATAGGTATCATATTTTTTAGCCTACACAAGCAAGAAGAATACTCCTCAGTCATCACGTTTGTAAACAACCTCTCGACTTAACATCAGTCTTTTTGAAAAGAAAAAAAAAAGACATGCCTGAACCAGACGATTCAAGATCATTCAAGACATTAGAAATATATAACATTGTCTTATAAAGGAAAATGTTGATTTTCGTTTATTTCCGACAGAAATATTGCATTATACAGTTCACATCACTTGAGTGATGTAAATGCAAAATATAGTAATCAATACACCCAATTAGAACAAAGAAAATACCGCCAAGAGACAACTAGAACTGAAGCGTGGGAAAACACGAGTTCCGAGTCGCAAGTGGTTTCAGTTTTGCATCTGATCGGTTGAAAAAGTGGCGCGAGTTTCGGGACAAATCACACGACGAAGTAAAGCAAAACCAATGCAA